TACAGAACATGGCGACCAATGCAATACGTGCCTTCTGGGAGCGATTATGAGCCACAGTTGCCCCGGTTATTTTTGTCGTTGCGCTTGCTGTGGACGCAGTAAACTTACACAAATGTGTAAACCAGACTTTAAATTTTTTTTTCAATTTTTTTTTTTTGTAGATGGGGTTACATAGACGGTTCATATAAAACCCTTCGATGTACTTGCGTTTTTCTTGCAACTTCAAATGCGCCACTTCACGAGGCCCGTGTCTCCAGCGTCCCTTGGAAGCAAATGGCGGCGCAGCACTGAAATAAGCGGCCCTTGGAGCCGAATGCCGGCGGAACACCCGCACGTGCGACGTCTCTAGGGTGTTTCCAGGTCAATAGTTGGCGGTACTTGGAAGAAACGCCTTCATCGAGATGCTTGAAATTCATATTATAGAGATTGGAACCCCTCGCGCCAGGCAGGTGATTTTCACGTAATCGTAAAAACCATACAGACAATTTTAAGAACAAAAGTGACGAGATACCTACGCTTGGCAGAGACTCGCGATACATGAGACGCCTTGTAAACGTATTTCACTACTATAAACACGTTTCTAATGCATCTCGAAGCACAAATTAACATACCCATGTGTTTTTCTAAGATACGTTGTCAACAACCCAGCCCCGTTAGGACATAAATGCATGGCCAGCTTTCTTTGATATTTCATCACCTCCGAAAAAAATAATTTCATCACTTCTTGTTAACCCTAAGTACTCTAAAAAACATACGAATTTTTTTTTTGCGAAAGGGCGTTGATGTGCGCAATTTCAGGTGTGTACATTTGGAATTCGAATTTTCTAAGGCGTGCTGGTCTGGGTCAGGAAACTTTGAGTCATGCGAAACGCGCTATTTCCACATGCCGCGATTTTGCTCCTCGAGCGGCGCCATTCCTGCAGGGCTGCCCACAGATACTCTAGAGGTAGTATTCGGGAGTACATATACTGAGATGTGCATATTTTAAGGCCCAAAATAGAGACACTGAGATACATTTGTCGTTTATGCAACGGGATATCCCTGAGATACTTCTGCCAAAACGGCAAAAAGTATTCCGGAATAGAGACACAGACACTTATGAATTTATATTTGTTTCCGAACGGTGCTACGTTGGGAAGGTGTAGTTCGATCCGAATGTAAATGGCAGTCTATGTTTGTGCTCCTCTTTTTGTGTCATTTTATGCACTTCCCCTTACCTCGAACTCTTCATTTATCATTAATGCCGCTGAATGTCTTTCCGGTCAACCACAAAAGTCATGCCACTAAAGTTATTCCCTGTGAAGCAGACATACAGACTGAACGGTAAAGAACCACTTCCATGTTTGACAAAAGGCAACTGCACGAAATGAACCCTGTTTTGCCGTGGGGCGCGTTTCAAACTGTCATCTTAAATGCTTCTGAGTAATCCATAGTGTTGGGAGATTAGAACACAGAGTCGTAGCTTTTCTTCACTCAACTCCTTTACAGCGTTTCTTTTGCTAAATTGTAATGAATGGAGGGCTTTCTTAGGGGAGCATATACTGTTCTTCTCGAAAGTAACCTTTTTAAATCACGATTGTTTTTATGATGGTGACTGTGATGAATTATGTTATAAGGCGGGTTCATATTATAGATGCTGAAGCACCTTGCACCTAACAAGTGTTTTTATAAATTAAGTTTATCGCAGAAACCGCAACAAATGTAACGATATACGTATATCTGGCAAAATATCGCAATACAAACGATACATTGTAAATGTATTTCACTACTCAAATAAGAATGTATGTTGTAATTGTATTTTTCACGTACATATGGATACTTCAAACTATCTCTATGATACTATAGCGACACATTTGTATCGCGATACCTGCAAAGTCCTGGATTCCTGCCGTTGCGGCGCTCTTGCCAACCGCAGCGGCAGAGCGGCGCGGTTCCAGAAGGTAGGAAATGTTTCGCAGCCACAAAGCAGTGGCGCGGAAGCATCCTCGCTGACCATTCACAGTGCCGTGATGAATCACGTGACAACACGTTTCGAGCAGACGCCATACAGAGGAAATACGCAGCGGATCTGGTTTCTCGTGCTGAGTCCTTCTTGATGGGCTTGTTTCCTGCTTCAGTGGTATGTCCAGCCTCGAAGAAGGTTAGCCTGTGTGTCTGCTTTCGATCGAGATTCCGTGAAGCCCATTTCCTCTTTCATCTTTCCTTGTGTGTCACAGGCTGTATGTCTTGGCATTATTTGGGAACAACTGAAATACCGTTTGAGACACCGAGCTATCAAATAACGCCAAGCAAAGGCACCCAAAGATATTTGTGTGTGTGTGTTTAAAATACCTATAGTTCTAATAAAATAAAAAAGTATTAGCGACAAATAAATCAGTAAGGTTTATACTGCTAGACACATAAAGCCTTTGGCCGCGTGTGCTTGCTGCAAGCAACATTGGGCATCGGTTTCGCCAGAAAACGCTCATGTGAAATTAAATCTTGCGAACCGCTTACGTCAGCTATTTGAACCGCGGAATTGCAACATGTAACTTGTTGTGATTCGGAGAGCCCAATAAATAAAAAAAAGAAAGGAAAAGAAGCAGCGCCGAGGCGGCCTGCTGAAAGATGTTGTCTCACATGCCGAGGTGGGGCGGCGAACACCGGCGGGTCCGAGGCGGGAACGACCCGGAAGGAAGGGACGTCTACATCGGCCGAGGTCAGAACACGCACTCTTTTATTTAGAGGGAAACAGCCCGGGGGCATGGGCCCGATGGGTGTAGACTAGCGCCGCCTGGCCACGGGAATTGGTGTGGCAGTCAGTGGCGCCATCTGGTTAGTGTGGCAATTACTAAAATGGAAAAATTTAAATACTACACTTTCCTTTCCTTAAAAAAAAAATAAATGCCTATCCTTCCCTCTCTTAGGAAAAAAAAACGGGAAGGCTGTCTGTACAAAAGCAGCTATAGTCTCTGAGAAAAAGGAAACAACTGGGGAAAGAAAAAGGCTGAACTGACTGTATCAGTTAAAGTGTTCAGTGGAGACAAAAATGGAAAATGCAAGGCATAGTTTGACAATTACGACAATGGCGTCTAAGCGACGTGAAAAAATGCAGTGTAAACACATGACATCTCTAGCAAGGCTGAAACCTTAGGGCAAAAATGAAAATTGGGCAACACATTTGGCAATGAAACAAAAATTAAGGCATGACACTGGGCGAGTAGCCAGTTATACAATGCTTACTGCATGCCGCAGGAAATAAAAAGCTAAAACTTCACATAAAAAATGTTCATGGACATGTAGTAGCACAGTAGTTGTCTTCTGAAATGTCTGTCACGACACACAAAAAAAATTCACTGAGGTTGGTTCTGGTTAATGTCCTTTGATTCCTATATACACTTGTTGAAATTAACTTAAAAGGTCCTTTAGAGTCATCACATAGGCTTTAAAGCGTCCTGGCAGTCGACGAGTTCGACGTGGGCGACTCCCTTGTAGGGTAGTGGATGTGTCGGGACCTTGGCCCTGGGTTTCCGGAGGATCCAACGGGGGTGTTGGCTCAGTGCCTGATGCCGATGGCACTCTCACTGGGGACGGCGCTGGTACCGGAACTGGTGCACCTTCGAAGGAGGTGCCGGAAGCTGCGCCCTCAGTGGCCGTTTCTGTGCGGCTGGAGGACCAACTGGCTTCTGACCAGCTGCTGTCTGGCAACGTCCCAGGAGTCAGGCTCTGCTCAGGGGACTGAGCATTCTCCTCGGGCACAGGTTGCACCTCTGCAAGACCCTCGGGGAGGGGACTCCCAGCTGGAACAGGATCCTCAGGAAAAGGAGGAGGGGCCTCGGGACTCAGGCCAGAGTCAGGACGTTGACCCTCAGGGTCTGGATTGGTGGTGTCCGGGCTGGCTGGACCAAGAACAGGAACAGGCGGCTCTTGGGGAGCCGGCCGGGCTGCAGGCAGAACAACTGCAGGGAAAAAAGGGGGGTCCGGGGGGTACAAATCTTCCCGGAACCAAGATGCTCTGGTTGATGAAGGTTGAAGAGTTGTATGCGTCAACTTGGACGCATGCCACGTGGATCCATCGTCCAGCCGGTATGTAGCTGGACCCACTTGATCTTGGATCTTCTGAGGAGAAGCATACTTCATCTGGAGCTTTCCTCTGTGACGAGGTTTGTTGACCTTGACGGTCTGTCCAGGAATGAATGTCGGCCGCTTGACAGCACGCCTTCTGTCTGAGTACATCTTCATGCGTTCTTGATATTTCTTGATTGTTTGTGGAAGTCTTTGTTGGACTGTGGACCTTGGAACTTGAGGGTCGGGGACTGGACGCCCCGAAAGATGAAGACGATTGCGATGGTTCCTGCCGTGAAGCAAGAACGCAGGAGTCTCTCCTGTCGCAGCATGACGTGTGGCACGGTACACTCCCAAGTATTCCGTGACTGCTTTTCTGAGGTTGCGTTGCTGGACGACAGCCAACTGTATGGTGGACTTCAGGACGCGGTTGAAACGTTCTACTTGTCCATTCGCTTGAGGATGGTTCAGGGATGACCTGAGATGACGGATACCTTGACTCTTGAGGAATCCTGTAAATTCCCTGGAGATGAACTGGGGGCCGTTGTCGGTGACTATTTCTTCCGGCAACCCCTCTCGTGCAAAGACAGTCTTCAGGAATTCTATCACAGACGCAGTCGTGACGTTGTGGACGCTCATGACCTCTGGCCATTTGCTGTGGTAGTCCACAAGGGTGATGAAAAAACGTTCGTTGCGCGGAGCGCGTTCGAACGGACCAACGATGTCCATACCTAACTTCGTCCAAGGACGAGATGGAAAATCGACTGGCTGTAAAGGTGCTCTGAATGTCTTTGCTGGTTTGTCCGTAGACTGACATATGGTGCAATGTTGGACGTATTGTTTGATGTGGAGAGATACTTGAGGCCACCAGTAGAGTTCTTTGATAAGTCCTGTGGTCCTCGTGATCCCTTGATGCGTTTCGTGCGCTATCTCGATGACCTGATCACGTAGACAGCTGTTCTCGGACTGCGAAGTAGGGCTTGAACCCTGGAGGCAGCTTGTCTTCAGCTGGCCATGTTGACGAGATGTATTCCATGACTTTCGGTAGAATGGGGTCACGAGCTGTTGCATCTTGGAAGTCGCGCTGGTTTAGTGAGGCGCAGACTATGGAAACCACTTCTTCGGGAAAATTCGTGCCATTTTCGGTGTCCTTGATGGGCAGACGGGACAGTGCGTCTGCGACGGTGTTGTCGGCTCCCTTGCGGTACTCCATGATGAAGTTGTAGTTGAACAGACGAGCTGTCCAACGGCTGATACGTAGCGGTCGGACTCCGGTGCCCTGCGTAGACATTAGAGTGACGAGTGCGCGATGGTCGGTGCGGATGGTGAACTGTCGTCGCCATAGATACGTATGCCACTTCTCGCACGACCACAGGATCGCCAGGGCCTCCTTCTCTCCCACGGAGTACCTTCGCTCGGTGTCCGTCAAGGAACGGCTTGCAAAGGCCACGGTCTTGAGCTTCTGCCCGTGCTGTTGTTGCAGAACTGCTCCAAGGCCGTAGTTCGAAGCATCAGTTGATACGATGACCGGCAAAGTCGGGTCAAACATTGTTAAGATGGGTGCTTTCTGGAGAGCTGTCTTGACTTCTTGGAAGGCGCTCTCGACATCAGGAGTCCAAGAAAAAGAGTTGCCTTTGCGCAACAAACGACGCATCGGTTCGACTACTGTCGCGCAGTGTGGAATGAATTTGCTATAATACTCCACTAGACCGAGGAATGCCTTGAGTTGCGTCGGATCGGACGGTGTAGGGAAGTTTAGAACGGCCTCTATCTTGGACGGAAGGGGCGCTACGCCTTCCGCGGATAGACTATGGCCGAGAAAAGACAAGGTTGGAACGCGGAAAACCGCCTTTCTGTTCAGTTTCATGCCGGCGGACTTGATCCGTCGGAGAACTTCGCGCAGGTGCGCGTCATGTTCTTGAGGTGATGATCCGTAAACGATCACGTCGTCTAAGTAGAACTGTACACCAGGACAGTCCTTAAGGATCTTTGACATGACTTGTTGGAATGCGGCTGGCGCGGAGGCCAAGCCGAAGCAGACTCGCTTGAAGCGAAATAAACCCTCATGCGTGATGAACGCTGTAAGGTCTCGACTCTTGGGGTCGAGTCGCACTTGATGGTAGGCCGACGCAAGGTCGAGCTTGGAAAAGCAAGATGCTCCTCTTAGCGAGTTTAGCAGCTCGTCGATGTGAGGTAGTGGGAACGAGTCGATCACGACCGCGCGGTTAGGAGCCCGAAGATCAACGCAGATGCGGATACCGCCGTCTCTCTTCTTTACGACGACGATCGGCGAGACCCACTCCGAGGCGCTGATGCGCTCGATCACGCCCTGACGTTCGAGTTTCTGGATCTCGGCAGTTACGGACTCGCGCAGCGTGAACGGTAGACGACGGAGCTTCGCCTGAACGGGCGGAACATGACGACGGACAGTGACTGTATGTGTCTGGTTTACGACCAGACCCAACTCGGACGAAAAAAGATCCTCAAACTCCTCGAAACCGGGAGGAAGCTTGGAACAGTCGCTCACCCACGATGGGGAGCGGTTACTGGGAGAGGTCGAGGGACCTTGGGCTGTGGGAACAGCCGACGACGAAGTTCTAAAGGTATCAGAAAAGTGGGTGGACGGACTGGAGTCCGTCGTGGACGATGGCTGCGGGACCTCAGCCTCGGTTGAATGTCCCGGGACGGCTGTACTGGGAGCAGCGGCGTCGATGTGAAAACATTTTAACGGTACGCCGGACAAGATCATCTTAAGGTCATGCACCGCGTCAACTCCAAGTAGGGAACGTCCGTTCCGTACAACGTAGAAAAGAATGGTCGCGAAGCGATCCTTGAACACGACGTTCGCGTGGAAGCATCCCAAAACGGGTATGGAACCCTTCAGGTAGTGCACTAAAGTGCGCGGCGGCTTCGATAACCTGATGCGGCCGCTCCGATTAATGCGGTTGAAAGTCGCATCCGAGAGAAGGGAGACCTCAGCACCGGTGTCGATGAGAATGGAAAGAGGGAAGCCGTTCACCTCTACATCGGCCGTGAAACTCCGGCGCTGGGGACCAGGTCGCTGCTCCCGGCGACCACCGGGTGACCTCACCGTGTAAACGCCAGGCCACATCTCGTCGTCGTCATCCTCCGAGAACGTGCCGACGCCTTGCACGGGTGTGCGTGTCGGACCAGCTTGGCGACGGTCGTAGTAGCCGCGGGCAGAAGCCCGCCGCCCAGAAGGAAGGGCTAGTTGACGTTGATCCCGGTCGCGCCTCGGACGGCTTCGACACACATTTGCAAAGTGTCCCACACGGCCACACGAGAAACATGTGGCTCCGGATGCTGGGCACTCATCTCGGGGGTGGCTTCGTCTGCCACAGAAAAAACAACCGTCGTCGCGAACGAGAGGACGCGCCCCGGGGGGAGGGTCGCGTGGGCGCGCACGGAAGAACGGTCGGGAGGGAGCTCGCGATTGCCGGCGGTCGCGCTCTCGACGCGGCGGGAAAGGAGGAAAGGGCCGCTCGCGTCCCGACGAAGGAGGGGGAGGCTCGCGCCTCGGACGAGAGGAGCGAGATGGCTCGCGTGTTGACGGGGAAGGGGGAGGACGAAGACGCTCACGCCGCGGGGAAGACCCGCGGTGGCGGGGTGACTGCCCGCCATGTTGACCATTCCGGTCGCGACCGCGTCCATCTTGAATCCGATCGACCACGTGCGGCGTGTTCGGACCTGCGTCTAACGACAAGCGTCGGAAGAGATCGCAATCACGAGACGTCCGCTCGAACTGCTGCGCTAACTGGACAGCACGCTCGAGGCTAGGTGCGTTAGCTCCGTCGGACTCTCTGATTAAACGATCTTGGACTTCCGCGTTACGGATCCCCGAAATAAACATTTCCGCGACGCGGCTCTCCAACGACTCTCCGTAGTCGCAAAACGATGCTAGGCGTCTAAGCGCCCCAAGATACTCGAGGACGGTCTCTTCTGGACCCTGGACCCTCATGGCGAACTTTCTACGCTCAACTACGACGTTTTGAGCGGAAGCGAAGTGGGTGTCCAAAGCGGACAACAAACCCTGAAACTCATCTTGTGCCGCGTTGACGGCTGGACCCGCTAGGTTGAACGCTTCTACGACGCGATTTCCTTCCTCTCCTAAAAAAGATAACAAAATAGCCCTCTTCCGCTTCGGCGGAAAATCCTCGGCGTCGGTCGCCTCGAGGTGATTGAGGAAGCCGCGCTTCCAAGTCTGCCACGGCATTGACGGTTCGCCGGGCGTGGGGAGAAATTCGGCGGGAACGCGACCCTGCGCAGCCGCCATCTTGAAAAAGGCGGACAAAGGCGCCGTTCCTTGTTAAAAAAAAATGCACGTCCCGTCTAGACGCGGAGTACGAGCAACCGACCGCTCGAACGCTCAAAAACGCTGCTAAGAGCGGAGCCGCAACGAAAAGCGGCGCAACGAAGCTTCAGGGGGCGCGGGGGTTCGAAATGCGGAAAAAAATTATCCCATCCTCGTCGCCAAAATGTTGTAAATCTCGTCGCCAGAAATGTAGTAATTAAAATCGGTCACCCGTGAAATAAAAAGGAAACGCAGGGCCGAGGCGGCCTGCTGAAAAGGATGCTATCTCACATGCCGAGGTGGGGCGGCGAACACCGGCGGGTCCGAGGCGGGAACGACCCGGAAGGAAGGGACGTCTACATCGGCCGAGGTCAGAACACGCACTCTTTTATTTAGAGGGAAACAGCCCGGGGGCATGGGCCCGATGGGTGTAGACTAGCGCCGCCTGGCCACGGGAATTGGTGTGGCAGTCAGTGGCGCCATCTGGTTAGTGTGGCAATTACTAAAATGGAAAAATTTAAATACTACATAACTCAAGCATACGAAGTGAATTTCTTTTTCTTTTCTTTTTCAATACTCAGTAGGTATTTATTATCAGTTGAGTGCTTGCAAGCTGCATTCATATCAGTTTCTTTTTCAATTCCTTTTGTTGCTTTTCTCTGGTAGAAAACCGGGAGAGGTCACCAACTGATGGCCTGCCTCTTCAAGAAACTCTAGGCAGTACGTCCACAGATGATACATTAATTCGTTGTCCCAGTGTGACATATCAGGTGGGTTTAGTTAATTATGAACAAGGGGGGGAATTCGGAAAACGCGGGAGCTCTAGAAATCTAAACTTCCAGACAGCTTGGTTTCTGCAAGTTCTAGGCGTCGTTAGACGAGTCGTTTGTACCTCTACTGGAAAATGGAACTCGTTGTAAACATGTTATTTCGATGACTGAAGCTTTAAACTGTCACAAAATATTACACTAAAGAGAGGAACCATAAAAGTGTACGAAGGCAGGTATGGCAAGACAACGTACCTGGTAACACCTAGTAGCAGCAAGATCATCCAGTGGGCATCGTTCTGTGCTCCAAACACATCTTAGGCGAACAAGATAGCTCCTCTCTAAAAGTAATTTTATTCATTGTATTGTTTTTGACTAATTATAGCAGTAGACTGTATTAAAAATGATTCTGGCCCTGACCTCGTAAAATACCGTGTGTTTTTTTTTTTTTTTTGCTTTTTTTAGCACTTTCGATTTGAGTTGGCAGCACTGAAACACAAAGTATCACAAACACAACGTTGAGACGTTGTGTATGTCTGCCTTTTTTGCCTCTGCCTCGGGTTTTACTATGCCGAAAAACAGCCAGCTTGTATGCTCCGTAACGTTGTCTTCAAACATGTATTGTGATTTTTAGGGCTTGGCTCTGGAGTGTTTGAGAGTTCACTAACCGAGCACAGTTGGAGCGGTTATCCGCATGCTATAGCAACGCGGCACTGGCGAAACTGTCGGCCATTGCCAGACCAGTTGTGCATTGGCTTCAAAAGAGGGACTTTTGTTCAGTTCAGTTGAATAACCCTCAAAGGCCCCTTAATGAGCTGCGTTACATGAGGGGGGATCAAGTACAAAACAAAATAACAAAGAAGGTTGCCGAATAACACATATATTGATAGGGACTTCTAGCAAACCTTTACCGCTTCCCGCGTAACGCACTAGCGGAGCACTGTGAAGCATGCTTTTAAGCGCGCTCCCCACGAGCCGGAACACGGTAACAGTTTGCAAAAAGTCCCTAATGAACAACTAGAGGCATCTTATACAGACCATCTAAAAAGACAAGGAACAAAAAAGGGGAGTCCTGTTAAATACGCATTTTGACTAATTAAAAGACTTTTGAGGTGTGCACTGCCAATATCACCGAATTTCGACTGATTAGTTTCGAGTACGATTTTTTGTAGAAGATAGTTGACGTCAGTGGTACCTGTGAAAGCGTGTAATTTTGAAATTTACTAGTTTTCGCGAATAAAGAGTTTACTTTCAGCTTGTGCATGGTCATGACGTAAATCGATGTGCGAGGGGGGGTCACAGTAACCGTCACGAAAAGAAGAAAAATGATAGATTTTGTGAAACTTGACGAGTCGAACAAATTTAGTTCTTTCAGTTATTGGACGAAGCTCTAGATTTGATTTTAGTGCCGTCATACTTGGTGTCCGGGAGTACGATATAAAACAAGATGCTTCATTTTGAACTGATTAGAGTTTGTTAATGAGATAGGCTTGATGACGCTACCAAATAAAGCGAACGAATAGTCTGAATTGGATCTGATGAAAGTTTTATGGACTGCATTACAGTGACAGAGTTGCGTAAATATGAAGAAAACAAAAATGAGCATCTTAGAAAGCGCACGTATAGACGCCCAAGAAAGCACATACAAACTATTTACTCGAACTAAAAGGAACATGCACCAGCACAATGCAGGATAAAACGCGGTTAATTATTTTATAACCTATCAAGACATGGTTTCACTCGTGAATAGTTTCGTGGAGAAAAATATTATTATTACTAATTTGTCTTGCATTTGTATCTTCGTACCTTCTCTTCGTTATTGACGCGTGTGACATATTCATATAATACGGGGAGAAATTGTGACCTTGGTGTTGTATTTGGTATTGTGAAATAATTTTGACCATATTTTTTTATTCAAAAGATTCACAACGTAAGGATTGCTTTGCACTTCTCATGCTGATTTCCCTACTACAATTTCCCAACACATACGTAACTTCTAAGTTTGAAACTGTCGCTCGGGCCTCTTTTTTTTTTTTTCTTTTCTCTCCAGCTTTTGGCTTTTTTGCAACAAGTAGAATGGCACCTTCGAAATCAAAGAGCGCATGGCTGCTCTATACAATTACCAATTAAAAGCAACGTAGGCAGCGAATGAGCGCTGGCGGTAACAAAATGTGATTTTGTATTGTATAGTCAGGCATCGGTAGATTAAAAAAACGCACGCTTGAGCGATTTCCACGATGCATTTTGCAATTGCTCCACATACTGTGAGATGACGGCATATGCTCATAAGAACGCCGCGTGACGGATCGCGAAACAATGGGTGTGAACATAAGAAGCAGCGTCCTTCTTCTTTCAAGATGGCAGTGATTTGGGTAACACATTCCCTAACTGTTTGACACAATTAAATTATGCTATCACCATCTCTATAAACTTCATCATGCTCCAACGCCTGTACGCGAAGTTCTACACTTGCACACTTTACTGAAAAAAGTAAGGAATTGCATTTACAATTACCCGAAGCTAAATTTTAATTGATTACAGTGACAATTACCCAGACTTCCCCGGTACACTCATAGCAATTATTCAAAATAATTGTAATTGATTTCTTTTTAGATTCATTTTGTAATCATATGAATACCTTAAGAAGTAATAGCAAGGAAGCTCTAATTACGTGTGGAAGTAATAAAATTACTCGTGACCGTTACGATTTTTTCTTCCCGGTTATAACGGCGCCCTATTTTCGTACAACTACAACCAATAATTAGACGAAGGACTAGTAAGAGGAATGTACACGACAAGCGCTGACTTAGAACTGAATTTAATTAGAACGAACATGAAACTCCCAAACCACCAAAACACAAAACACCGATAATCTTATCAATGTGATTACAGTCTTGCTTCGTAACGACACATGCAAGCAATCTCGCAGCCAAACAAGGCAATGGACGGCGAACTCACACAGATACCATAGAGAAATATAGTGCTACGTAAAGAGTGGCCACTCTAGCCGTTTCGCGGCCCAGGAGCTAGGGACGCTACCGACCGTTAGCAGGAGCAACAGTGCCACTTATCCTGAACCTTTGTCAGATATATAACATTAATAAATAACTTTGTTGCATAAAATGTTAAAATTATTACGAATTTTAAAACTTTCGAAAACGACTTCAACTGCTGTGGCTACGGCTGCGGCGCGACGGTTGGCTTTGGGTCGTGGACTCGACGGAGGGTGGATACTTCGGCAGCTTGGTTTGTCTCCCTTGCCTCGTTGTGTTGGTTGAGTTGGTTCCGCGGCTTGTTGTCTTGTGCGGGTTTCTAGTCATTCTTCCGTTGCGGTCAAGGTATACGGTATACGTAAGAAGTATTGTGAGTGTAGTTTCTTTGTTGACGGACATTTGCATTTGGTCCCTGAACTTAAAAGCCACTGGGCCAGGCTGTTCTTCTATTGTTGCTGTATTAGTCACATGGTCATTTCTGCAAGCGCTTTTCATGGAACTTGGACGGTGGTTTCTTTATATGCCTTCCATCATATTGCATTTGCCGCTGTAAGTCTCGCTAGAATACAGTACTTATTTTTCCAGTGTTGCACTGTTGACGCGTTATTCATACATTTTGCATGTGTATTGTTATTTTTGTAATCTACGAATAACATACATCACTCATTGTCTTCAGAGTTGATGTTTGTTTTGCTTGTCGTAGTTACAAAAATAAATACTTTTGTGTGTCAATCCCGGGTGTCGTCCCTTCAAGAGGGTTAGCACAAATCTGGAATGATCCTTTTCGGTGTGCGGTCACTTTGAATTATATGTAGAGCTGGATGAATTTTCTTCTGCAGTACAATTAAGGTATGCTTATAAAACAATTCTATTTTAAACAAAAACCATGCTAGTTACAATAACACTGACTCGTTAAACTAGAGGGCGCATGCTACTGCCCGATACAGAAATACCGCCAGAATTCGCCTTGAATATATTCATTCATCTGGCCAGCGGTTATTGCGTGTATCCATCCATTTAACAATCAACTAGGGACTACACTGGCCGCTGGGTGCGCTCGCTGACACTGAATTGGGTCGCTGGGGCCTATGGAAGCGTCCGCTCTTTACGTAGTACTGTATTTTTCTATGCACATACCATCCTCGCACTGTGAGATGAAAAAAGCCTCCGTAATCTCCCTCGTTCTTTGGTTAGTGGCAATGACATTAGATAATATTGCAGCGACCGTGACGAATTTGCTCTGAAAGGAGCGGAAAGGGCGCCGCCATGTTTTCAGACTCAACCCGGCCCCAACCAAATAGGTGCCCCACGCATTTTCTTGAATTTCGCCTTGGGGCGAGCGCCAACTCAAAACCCCAAACGGAGTTTGGGTTCTGCCCATGCGCATTGGTGAACCCCTATCTCTTTGGGGCCCCCTATTCTAGAACTCTCTATTATCTCTCACGTGCTGTGTCATACACTCTTGCACAATCTATTTGAATACAAGGCTTTTGGCCGATGCCACTTTGAGTGTTC